ATACACCCTGTGTATATATATATATATATATATATATTGAAAAATAAGAAAGACTTGTTTTTTCTTTTATTAATTATTATTGATAATCAATTAGGTTAATTATTTTTTTAACTTTGTAACTTTTGTACATGTAATCTTCCTTTGTTAAGTAAAAGATCTTAAACTTGGAGTCAGGTGATGCATAACAATTATGATAGTATATTGTTACAATAATTATAACAATTAAAGTGTATAAAATTTAGCACGTTAAACCTTAAAGGAGAAAAAATATTAAAGTAAGCATTCACTTTCTGCTGACACGTTGAAATTGTTTAATGATAAAAGTACATCAATGTAGAAAGATACTCTGGAAAATAGAATTTTCATTAAAATGTCTAATGCCACTATTCAAAATTTTGATATTTCAGAATCCATCAATTTGAGGTGGAAAGATTCATTTGGAAGGAGAGTTCACACATATTTCAAAATAGTAAATTTTTTTTCCACCATAAATATATTTTTATGTAAACTTCTTTAAAGTCGAAATGCTTAACTAAATTTTGTCATATATTTATATTCTTTTTACTGTTGAATTAACTTTTTATAGCCATAGATTATTTTCTAACATAAGTTTTTTTAAAAATAAAATTTAATCCAAGCAAATGAAAAAGTGTGCAAAAAGTGGCTATTAAATATATCGGTCACCGACTCATTAAGTTTGAAGAAAAAGTGGCTGGTAAATCATTAGAGTCTACAGGCCACTGGTTAAACTTTAAACTAAAAAAACTTTTCTGGTCTAATTGCTAGAAAAGCAAAGGTCTCCTATAAAAGGCTACTTTTACTTCTTCTGAAATTTCTCTTTCAATCAAAAGTAATGAATGAAATCAAACGTGATCGAACATGTGCTTTTTACAACTGGCGGGACAAGATTCATTCTTCCAGTCTTGTTCTCTTATCTCGAACACTCTCAAATTTTACCGGTTTTACCTTTCCGTCTCATTTAATCTCAGATTATACTTACAAAGCGAAATTTATTCTCATTAGCTTCCAATTTATTTCTTATCAGTTGAATGAATTAAACAAAAATTTACATCTAGTAAAATGGCAGTATCGTGAACCATTCGATTAGATTGTTATTAAACAACTTTGATATATTTCTTAAAAATGCTTTTAAGTGTTATCGCTAACTTTAAAAACTATTCTCACTAATTGTTTTACTGGAATCGGCACTATTAAGTATTTTTAAACTATTAGGCAATACTCAAGATTAAGCAAAATCCATTAAAAACATGTAAATTGCAATTTTTTTTGTCATTGAAAATCCAGTTTAGTTATTAAACTACATAGCTATAGAGATAAGGCTAGTTTTATCCTCTGCAAATTAATGTAAATCTTTCATAACATTCACTTGTGACATAGTAAATATATGACATTGGTGACTGAAAAATTTTAAATGTCGGTTAAAAAATAATTTAACTTACTTAATTTGAACTAACGATTGTTAGAAAATAATTACTATGATATT